ACTTGGGAATCCACTGGTGGACCCTAACCAAAAGTTCAACTGAAACTAAAAACTGAAAATAGATAATGCTAAAAACATCGAGAGAAGTTCTACGTAATCAGATGAATGTGAAACTGTCCTCGACAAGCACGATCAAGCTCTAAGGCTGGAACCGTCCTGTACCTGAAAAGAATAATAAAGGAGTGGGTCAGACCCATGAGCAAGTTCTAATCTAACTGCAATCCATACAGTGACCCGATACGCAGATACACCATAGACACCTCACAATATCTATCTAGTCCATACGTATAAATATATCCACACTAAGGGACATTCACTAGTCTATAATAGGGGTCTCAACCTGAATAGAAGGCAATATGTGAATGCGCACCCAAAGGTGGGTATGAGTACCTAGACCTAACAGGGTACACCTCAACCTATTATAACCAGCTACGCATCCACCGCATATACGCACCCTAACCAACGAGTCTGAGACTCAAGCTCAGCTCGTGGTACCATAAACATATATATAAAGTCCGTCCAAATCCAGGGTATGTAGTTTTTAATAAACTGACACACAACAAACCAACTAGTTAGTCATTCAACTTATTCAGTTGATGTGACTTAACTACCGTCCATTAGTCCAGGAAGCCATTCAACTTAGTTGCAGTTGATATGTCTTAACCAAAATTAGGATTCAATATTTATAAATCCATTCCTTTAATCCATTAGGTTAGGTTTAGGCGTTTTGAGCTAAACCGTTCTTAGTATGTCACCGTCCCATACCAGTACATACAATCCTCCACATCCAGGTAAATTATAATGTATACATAATGAACAAGTAATCTACAGTCCAAAACCACTATCCAAATAATTGCAGAAAAGTATTTAAAGTTTCAGCAATTTAAATCCAAAAATTTAACCATATAGTTGCAGGAGATGATTTAATAAATCAACAACTAACATCCAGAGCATTCATAGACCAAATTTAATATGTCAAGGACTCCATCATGCATGTGAATAGGTTAAATAATCCTATTATTATCCAATAAATTACTAAAACAATTTCAAAAGATTGTTTAATGTTTCAGCAATTTAAATCCAAGCATTAACCATATAGTTGCAGGAAACGATTTAATAATTCAGCAACTAGCCTCCTAAGTATGCATAGATCAAAATTAATAATTAAATGTCCTTATCATGCATTTGAATGCATTTTAAAACAAGTTTTATAAACACATTACATTCCATCAACTTGCTGAAATTTAATTCAACAATTAATTTATCTTCCATTTGTTAACAACATAGGAAGTGCCTTAAATTTTACACTGTTTGTCACGACAATTTAGAATTAAACCTTAATCAATTTAAGGTCTTAATAACACCCAAAATTCATTCCTTAATCATTCTGTAAAGTTTCAGATTCACTCAAATAGTCTCCATGCTCCAACAGTATTAAACAGTACGTACAAAGCTAAAAAAAAACAAACAGAAAACAAAAATTGAAGATGGAGCCTGCTCCAAATTTTGGGAGCAGGCTTTTTCAGCCTAGAGCTTCTGTCCCCGTTGCTTCGTTTCAGTCCGTCTGCTCCATCTCTGATCAATTCCTACCACTCTATTGGTTTCTAAAACTAATCTTAGGAGTCTTAATTGAGTCTAGAAGCATTCCCAAGGTTGCTTACAATAAATTTGAAAACAATTACAGAGTTTAAACAAAACCATTAAACTAACATGCTTGGAAAACAACACTGGAACATGTTTAAGAAAATTTCAGTTCTCTTCCAAACCCTCTGTTCCTCTTCACCACTGAACCTAAGGATCTTATATCAATCCCAATAACATTCCCATGGTTCATTTACAGAGATTAAAAACAATTCCAAAGACTAGAGTTACAACAGAGCAATATGCTTAAAAACAGAAAACTATAACGAGCCATGCATGAACTGTAACAGAATGGTTTTCAACATAAACAAATCATTCATATGACATATATTAAACATATATCTTCCAGTTATTGATTGATTAAACCCTAGAGATTATCTAGGTGCACAGAACACGAGCCAAAGAGAAGGAGAAAGAGAAGAACTTGCCTGTGATTTAAATTATGAAATCCCTGCGTCGTCTCTAAGTTTTCCGGCAATTCTGAACGCCGTCAAGCTTCCTATAACTCCGTCTCTAATCCTTACTCAACCTCCTTGCACCTCTCTGTACAATTCCTCTTAAGCCTCACTCTGTTTTCCCACAACTGCTCTCTGTTTCTCTCTCTGTATCTTTGGTACATGAATAGGGTTTTTCCAACCCTTGATACAGATTATAACCGTGTATATATAGGCGTAAAAAATCCTAAACCCTAATCCTTGTTCAATTAGAGACAGAGCCCTAATTCTAAGCCTAGTCGGCCCATGAACCTATCTCTATTACCATATTACGGCTTATCTATACGTGAATTGCAACCCAGAGCTAATTATAACTTAAACCATAATTAAATTCAAAAAAATCCAATTAAATAGTTAAATACACTTAACCAATTAATTCTAATTAAATAACTCAATTAAACAATTAAAAACACTTAAACAATAAATGCCAATTAAATAATAAAAGATTGATTACTTAATTCAATTTAAATACATGTCACATAGGTAAACAATTAAATCAAATTAATAAATAAAAATAATTAAACCAAATAATCACGCAAAAATACAATAAAAATAATAAATAAATGCCGAGACTATCCTTTTAAAATTAGGGGTATTACAAAACCACTTAGCATGCTTTACAAGAATTTCCAAAAAATACAATATGCTTACATTCAACAATAATCAAGCATAGTAAGCATTTAGAATATAAAATTAATTCATACAAGTATGCTATTTGATGTAATTTCAACTAAACACATAGTCACATACTTTGTTTACAATAATTTAATCATTTTAAAAGAAAGATCAACACAATTAACATGCTAGACAATAATTCAAGAAGGAAAATTCACAAAGGAGTAAGAAATTGCGCATTAGAAACCCCTACCTCTTATGATGCAAAACCCCCGATTCCAAGCCCTAGATTTCTAAAATCCTAGGGTGGCCAAAAGTGTGAATTGCTCCTATCAATGTGTAGATCTCGACGAGGTCTCCATTTTGCCGAAAAAGGCACCCAAAAATTCCAAAATATGAGGGAGAAATTGAAGATTGAAGTTTTGAAGAAAAGAAAAAGAAACAGAGAAGGGAAATAGAGAAAGAGAGGGCTTACGGGAGAGAGAGAGAGCTTACGGGAGAGAGAGAGAAAGAGAGAGAGAGAGAGAGAGAAGAATGAGGCCAAAATGGCCTCTTTGGCCACTAAATCATATAGGTGGAGGGTCCTATCAAAAAATATCCCACCATTTATTTTTGAAATATATATATATATATATTTAATCCAATTAAATCTCAACCACATAAAATAACACACCACCATATAAATATGCACAAAATAATTATGTAGGAAATGCAATGGACCCAAAATATAGTCTCCGTACACAACAGTCCCGGCAGCGGGTCCCACTTGGGACCCTCTAGCTCGAAAAACGGAAAAAAGCCGAAATGACAACTCTTACATTTCAAAGAGTCCTGAACTTAATGAAATGCCTCAGCTAACTCTCGGATACACTCGACACACTCCATGGTGTGCCGGCATGCAAAACGAGAAAAAATGAAAATATTCTCGAAAAATCAAAAAATTCTAAAAAAATGAAAAATGGCGAAAATCGGAAACATTATAACGTGGTGTCACCAGTGTAGGGAAGTCATTCTCGACTAGAGGTGAGGTGATAATAATTACACATTGTTGCGCGAGTCAAAATGTATATATATATATATATATATATATATATATATATATATATATATAAGAGCAAATAAAATTGAAATGATAGCAAATAGAGAAATTTGAGTAAGAGAAAATTTCTTTCACATTTATGTTCTAATAATCATGAGATAAAATAAAGTAATAAATAAACTCAAGGGAAAAAAAAAGAAGGTAAAATACACTTACATACTTTGAGATTTGGACAAATTACACATGGGTAGGCCATTCAACGTTTATTACTTTGACGAAGTAAGAAACGCTGAATGGTCTATCCATGTATAATTTGCGCAAACTTCAGGGAGGTCAATATAATTTATCTCCAAAAAAAAGTAAAAAAAGGAAAAAGAATAAAAATAAATAAAAATGAGGCCAAGCAAGTAATTCACATTGTCGCATAGCTTGACATTATCTGGTGGGCTAGTTAGTAAAGTGCCTACCTCATTTAGCTGGTTATTAAAAAAACCTCATTATATTTTTCAAATTGAGCAAATAAAGATAATTCTTCAATTTGAAGATTGAAATACCTAAAATGTGCTTTAGACAAAATAAAGAAAAATTAAAATAAATACATAAAAAATAAGGGCATTTTTTATTTTTTTGTAAAAATTCCAAAAAAAAAAAAAATAATATTTATTTTTTGTTTTGTTTTTTTATTTTTACAAAATACATATAATTGTCCAGTGCGATTTCTATTGTTTTTGTTTTTTATTTTTGCTTTTTCTATTTTTAATTTACTTTATTTTTTATTATTTGTTTATAAAAAAAAAAAAAATTCCCTTAAAATTGGTCAAAATTGACAAATAGGGGCAATTTGCTATAATTTTTTAAAATACAAAGATTTATATGCACTTTATAAAAATCCGGAGTGCATATAAATACAAATCTCTCTATATGTAGACATTTTTTTTTTTTTTTTTTTTTTGCAGTTTACCCATATTAATATATATAGAAATACATTTAGGAAAAATGTATATAGAAATACCAAAAACCAAGTAAGCCCGTGACAAGAGCCAAGATACACCAGATCAGCTAATGATATACCAAACGTACGGTTAAAAAGAAGCCACGTGATAAAGTATTAACTACACGTCACTGCCAACTCACCTACTCTCCGACCCCTCAGTGTCCCTCAGTGTTAAACACTGTTCCACACATCAACACGCGTCGCCTGACGTGGCCATTTCTTCTCTTTCTCTCTGTGTGAAAGGTGAAAACTCACATTTCCTGTGATTCGTGAGAGAGAGTGCAGAGCTAGAAAGGGCAAATGCTGAAAGTGACGAATTAGGGTTAGGTTTTCGCATTTTGAAGTTCTAAAAATCGTTACGGCTAAAGCATTTTGTCTACGTACATATATATTTATGTATGTCTATGGGCGTTCGTTTTGGAGGTGAAAAGGAGGGAAAATTGGGGATATTTAAGAGGTATGTTCAATTTTACGCCTTTGATTTGTTGATCTTTTGGTTTAATTATTATTTATTTTGATGAAAACTTGAAATTTGACTGTTGAGATGTTTGATACGATGCAATTGTAGAGTATGAAGTTGTAATCTCTGTAATTTCACATTGTTTAGAACAATTTGGGTACATTATATGAATAAAAACTCAACTTCCAATTAACCCTAAACTTAGATTAATGACAAAAAGTTGTTTCTGATGAGAGAATATCTAGTGGCATGCTAAGGGGCTCGGAAAGCGTGAGGATGAGTTTTCGACTCTGAGAGCAGCCATTGGTGTGAAATAATGTCAAAGGTTATGTTAATAATGGCCTTTGGTACATCTCATGTCATTGGAAGATTTCAATGGCATGATAGACCAACTTCATAGTCAAACAGTTGCATGCCTCATTCAGTGCATATTAAGTGTGGCGGTGTTGCCCGAGTGGTAAAGGGCCCGGCCTTAATTGCCCCCACCCTATCCTCCTAAGTTCGAATCCCCTTCCCCGTAACCCCACTAAGTCACTACTAACTCTAACTCTCTAACCATTGCCAGGTGCAAAAAAAAAAAAAAAAATTTCAGTGCATGTTTCTTATTTTTTTTCCCATTTGAAACAAAGTGAAGTTATTTTTGGTTCTGATGTGCCGGGGGATGGTGCGAGTGTACGTTTTTATCTCTAAAGTAATTAAAGATATAAGATAAGAAATGGAAGAGAATTATACACCTCAACTCAATTCACCAAGGCTTAGTTGCTACTAGTTGGGATTTATTACATGAGCCCATCTTCTCCGGTACTCTGATTGAAATGCATATTATTGACGATTATCCAACTCAATGGAGTCATGCATTATTCTCTGGTACGCCATTTATAGTCATTTTTCAACTTCTCCCCTATATTTGGATTATTCTCCCCTTTATTAGCAAATTTATTGTCAACTTTTCTTGAGAAATTCGTTCTTTCTATTGAGCAAGCCTTTTACAAGTCAAATCACTTTGTACTCATATCTATGCCCTTTCCCATAATGTATGCCTGGTTCTGCATTAAGATGCTCAAGTTTGAGACTTAGAGTAGTCACTTTGTGAAATATCAAAGGTTAGGTCTTTCTCAAGTCCTCCCTCTTTAAAGACTCTCCCGAGACCAGATTTGGTAATGCCTTACCCATGGTGTATGATGACTACACTGAATGCCTTAACCTTCAAGGAATTATTTGCACCTAGTAAGAATTGATCCTGAGACTTGATGCTTCATGAGGCACCAGGGCCCAAGTCTTTTCCAACTAGGCCAACCCCTTGGGGTTAGAAGAAGTAGAAGAAAATCCACTAGTCAATTCTAGAATCCTTTAGGCTTCACATTGCATCACATTATTCCAAATGGCTTTAGAAGTTGTGAAAATTCTCTGGAATGATCCCTATTGAATTTGAAGGATCACACATGTATATGTAAGGTTAATAGATATGCCTGCATTTTAATAGGAACATAAAAGTTGAAACTTGAGACTTGTATTATTGAATTTGAAGGATTACATAAAACCAGCAGCAAACTGAACTGAAGAATTATAAAGTAAGACCAACTAAGAGGTCTGAGGTCCTAAGAGGGCTTACCATGAAGTCTAACCAATTCCTAAAGATTCAACTCCTTTAAATTTGCTATTTCTTGATTTTCTTATGTACTGCATCACCATCTTTGAACTTTTGTACTCTTAACTTCCAAAACTGAACAAGTCGATTTTTGAGGCTCTTTGAAAGTTAATAAATGGTTTGTTAGGATGAATTGGTAAAGAAATTTGCTTTACCCGGTTAGAGAGAACCTGTGCCTGAAGCTGATGTGATATAAGTATGCTTGTGACCACAACCCCTGTGCTGTATGTGTGCTGCCAGAGAAACAATGAGACTATAATGTTTGATCTCTTGAGCATTCTTTATTGGTGCATATCTTTTTTTTGTTATTCTTTTTAATTGCAGTCTTATGCATCCCAGTGTCCTATTACTTTTACAGTTTTATGTTTATTTTATATTTATTCTCTTTGATGTTGATTATTTTATTTTTTCTTTTTGGAAAAAGGAATAAGTAAGGTACTGCACTGTGAGATCTGCATCCGCTTCGTAGCAGTTCATCTTTTTTGGAATTTGAAAATGGGAAGTGGTGAAGACAATAAATCTTCAAAATCTGAGAAAGCATCTCCATCTGCACAGGTTAGCTCTTCATGACGTGGTGAAGTATATATAATACATTTATTGTGTATTTTTAACAACTGCAGATGACTTTCTTTTTTTATAATAACAATTCCAAATGAATAATTATCCTGTCCCAACACCACGCGTAGGTGGGACCAGCACTTGGTAATGGCCTTTTAAGTCCAAATGAATTATGATGGTTGTATGTCAGGGGAGGGATGATCTATACTTCAACCTATTTACTGCACACATTTATTTTTGTGCGGTAATGGCCTTTTAGTTCCAAATTAGTTATGACGGTTGTATGCCAGGGATAGTTGATCTATACTTCAACCTATTTACTGCATGCATGTAGTTTGTGTTTTTGTGTGTGTGTGTGAGAGAGAGATGGGGGAGGGGTGGGGGATGGAGGGGAAGAGAAATAGAGAGAGAGCACATCATTGTTCTTCTGGGTCTGATTCCATCCATTGCCATTGGCAGGAACAGACTAACATCCATCTCTACCCTAATTGGGCATCTATCCAGGTTATTCTTTTTATACATGCATCTTTCTTTCTGCACGTGCCATCAAGTTCATTGGACCTTTTGAACATCAGAAAGCTGTATTATTATCAATTGCTTGAAATTATTCTTAATACAATAAATTTGCTTCACCTTCAGGCATATTATGGGCCTGGAGTCCCTTTACCACCACAGTATTTCAACTCTCCAGTCACAGAAGGTCAGCTTCCTCAATCGCATATGTGGGCTTCGCCACAGGTATTCCATAATCCTCTGTTTCCATGAGCCTCCCCTGCCTTCCCCTTTTGTTTTTTCTATCGTAGGCCTGAGTTGTAGCTATGTACCAATTGGAGTATCTGATGAACTCATTCTCTATTTGACACAATAATGTCTCAGCAACTGATGTCACCTTATGGAGTGCCTTATCCAACAATTTACTCTCATGGTGTTGTTTATGCTCATCCTGCAGTTCCTCTTGTAAGTCGTTATTGCTCTTACAACTTCAGTTTCCTAGTTGCAAACTTCTATTGGCAGGTTGCAAGTAATAAATAGCTCAGAAGAACTTCCTTTATTTTAGTTCAAGAAAAATTATATATTAGCTTGACTGTTACAACTGGGCATTACCTAGTGGCCTAGTTGGTAGAGCGCCCAGCTCCTCGAGCAGGTGTGTCCGTGTTCAAGTCCCCCCTCCCCCTAGTTTGCCAGGGAAAAATAAAGAAGAAGAAGCTTAACTGCTACAACTTAGTTCCATATGATTGTCAAAACTAGTGAACTGTTCCAACTGATTACTCAACCCCACTTCCCCTCTCTCTCTCTCTCTCCTGACAATTCTTTCAATTCCACTGGTTAGATTCATCTTTAACCATTTCCCATCTTATTCTTGAATTTTTTACACACTGCCTCATATATTCCCAGTGTTCTGGATGTTGTAAACTGTTTGAATACCACAAGAGGTTACATCCACAGTTAACTTAATGTTTTAGTGCCTGAGGGAAAAAACTGGTATTAGAATTACAGTAGTCTTTTATTTTAATCATTTATGAATTGTTTTTGTTTTGGATGAGTTATTGGAAGCATAAATTTACTCTTCAACTTAAAACATATTCACCATTCCGCAGGTTGCAACTCCTGTAAGTACAGAAATGCATACTAAATTACCAGATAGTACGGACCAAGGGTTAGAAAAGAAATTGAAAAGGTTGGATGGACTTGGTGTGCCAGTCGGCAAAGACACTGCTGAGGCTGATGCTGTGGGAACAGTCCATGAGACATCGCAGAGGTTTGCTAACCTAGAGCTATTTTTTGATCCACTTGTTTCTTTCCAGTGAGCAAACTGGGTGAGCTTGTAAACTTGCTTCTCTTCCTGCACTGTGCCATTGCTGCTTGGTTCAAAAATTGAAGTCATGCTCTATTTAATAGATTTCAGTTAGTAGAATTTTTTGGTTGTAAAGTTTTTACGTTTAATGGATTTCTCTCTGGACATAACCAAGATTCCTGTTTTTTTGATCATTTGCAGTGTTGAACGTGGTAGTGACGCTTCTAGTGATGGAAGTGATGTAAATACAAGAGTGAGGATTCTTCTTTATGTTACCTTTTTTTATTCGTTGTTTTCCTTAGACAAGTATAAGACACAGAACATGAAGTTAAAAGTAATGATGTTCTCTATATTTTAGGCACACCAAAGCAAGAGGAGAAGTAATTCAATGAGCATGTTATTAACTGGTACGATTAAGCCCCTAATAGAATTATCAAGGGAGTATTGTGGCATGTGCATTGGACTGGAGTCTGGCTTTGACAGGGTTAGCCCTTTAGTGGCCATCCTTCTGAAATAAAAATCTCTAGCTCTCCCTCTCCTAATGATATTGGCTTTGACAGTGTATATTGTGTTTTTGGCGTAAAACTGACATAAATCATGGAACAGGATATACATTCCTGTCTTGTATACTTGGAGAAAGACTATTCATTTTTTCCTGGCTTATTTGTTCCTTTACTTTTTGTGTAATAGAGAACAATGTTAAAGACCATACACAGGACAGCCCCATACCTAAAGGGGAAGCACACATGAATTCCACTAGGGTTTCAAGGATTACAGTAGCTCCTGAAAATGTTTCAGTAAATCCAGAACATCCATTTGGGACAGAAGCTATTGCAGCTTGTGCTGCTTCCACAGCTGCCGTAGGGCTGCCTTTTGAAGTTCCGGTACAGGTCTGATATGCAATATTTATTTATTTATTTTTTCTGTTTGGTGGTTGCTATGTTATCATGCTTTAAATTTTCTACTCGTATTAATATACTTCTGTTTGTCCTTAAATAAGTTGAGACAGTTTGATGTAATCTGTACCCATATACCCTTCTTGTTTCTTTAAACGAGCACTACGTTACTCATAAACATAATTAAATAAACAGACACTACATTACTATTGAACCACATGAATGGTGAAAAACACAGACATGGGCTGTCCTCAAGTTTTTTGTTCAATTAGCCAAAAAAGTTGAGACATTGCCAGCTTTAAGGCCTAGCTCGGTAGTGCATTTTTCTTGAAGCTTGTTGATTTGCTTATTTTTTGAAAAGTTATTCGAGTGAAGTTATATTCAAATTTCATTTGCCTTCTTTGCTTGTTTACCCAGGATGAGCGACAGCTGAAACGAGAGAGGAGGAAACAGGCTAACAGAGAATCTGCTAGGAGGTCTAGGCTACGGAAGCAGGTATTTTAATATCAGGGGTTCTGACTTTTGACGGAGCTGTATGAACTAGTTTGTCATTCTGGTTTATTCTGTTCTTGTTCTCCAGGCTGAAACTGAGGAACTGATGATGAGATATGAATCCCTGAAAGTGGAAAATTTGAATCTCAAATCTGAAATAAAACAACTAACAGAGGAATCTGAGAAAGTGAGGCTTGAAAATGCTGCATTAATGGTATTTTCAACCCTATGTAATTCTTTTTGTTTTACTATGTTCTGGGTCAGGTTGGCATATTACAATTGGATTAGACTATATATGATTAGCGTAGCAAGCTTAAAACCTCACCATATATGAGCCAGGATCGCGTGATGACTGCACTAATTCAGACTGTATGTGCATTTTTAATGACTGCACTTACATGTGCATGATCTTGCAGGAAAAGTTAGATAATTCGCAACTAGAACAGCCCGGAAAAATAGTTCCAGATCAGAACTCATCCAACTTGGCACTACTTAATATTGCCGATGACTCACTTATAGCAGCTAACTCAGACTCTGTTGGCATAATAAGTTAGGGCAGAGAATACAAGAACATCCCTGAGAACTCTAGTTCTGGGACCGAACTCCAAATGATCAAATCAAGACAGATACTGTTGCTAGAGGCCAATTGAGCTCGCGATGGTCTGCAACCGTACTTTCCACCTGTTTTTTAGATAGATCTGTGATTTTGACCCACAACTGAAAGCCAAATTTACTTGTATGATAAGTTGTTAGTTGGCAGCACAGGTAATTAGGTAGGTAAAACAGGATGGAAAGTAATTGTTGAATGCAAAGCTTCATTTTTTGAGTCTTGACTCCTAATGATGTGGTTAACCAATGCACTATTGGTTTTGTTGCAGTAATTGGGTAGTAGTTAGAGGTAAACAGTAGTGTATTGTATTATCTTTGCAGTTCTTCTCTGTTGTCTGTACAACTGCAAGTTAAATGTCAAAATATGTGCAGCTAATTTTTATTTGAACTCTTCCATAATGTTATTAACTTGTTTTTTTGTTCTGTTGGCCAAGATTTCCTTGTAAACTAACTTTGTGATTCCTGGAAGTTGGAACCACAAACGGTGAGAGTGTAAGGTACTTAAACGTGGTACTTCCGCCCAATGTACATGAAAATTCTTAATTTGACTTGATAGACGGGAAATGGACAATTTTTAATTAAAAAATTATAACTGTGCATTGGGCGGGAAATTCCACTTGTATAATACCCTTAGAGTATTATATACTTTCTCGCTGGTCCTCCCACAATGCTATGAATTGGCATAAGCAAATTCGAGTTATATAACTCCTTTTTTAATTATCTTATATAGAGGGTATCCCCATAAGTAAATGTTTGTTTCCTTGAGTGTTTGGATGAGTTGGATTTTTTTTTTTTTCCTTGAAAAAAAAAAAAAAAATTCAAACTCATAAGAGCCTAATTGCTTTCTATGGTAGGGCGAGTAATGGAATTGTACTAGTCCCTCTTTTTTTTTTTTTTGGTTATACCATCGTGCTAAAGAAATATTATTAGACACCTTTATCGTCAAAATTTCATAAAGAGAAGTGTTAAAATAACATTATAGGAGTCTAAAAATTAACATCATCATTACCCCTCACTACTTAGAAAGTAAAGGTTGTTGACAGCCAAATACCTTATAATCTCCTTTAAAATCCTCTTTAAATTAACACTGATTATTTTTTTGGATGTTCTATTTTTTATGATAAAATTTAACTTAAAATATATATAAATAATATGTTGAATTGAGTTAGATTTATGTGTGACTATTAGTTTTTCAATACTATGTGAATAATTTTTGTGACAATTAATATTAAATTTTGTCAATTTTTTCTCAAAGATATGTTAAATAATTTATGTGTATGGTTTTTTTTTTTTTTTTTTTTTTTTTTTTTTTTTTTTTTTAATATTTGGAAGAAAAAAAAAAAGATGTCTCTTTTCATTATTTTTGGAAATATCAAGTGTTTTGTTTGTTGTCTAAAGTTAATCCAAGTGACTTTAATTTTGGTTTAAATTCTTTAAATTAACATGTTAAAGTGTTTTAAAAATACTTCAATTTCAAATAATAACATAAATGATATGTTGAATTGAGTTACGTTTATAGGTGATATTACTTAGTCTCTATTGTGTGCATACCTTATTTTGACGATTAAAATGGTCTATTTTGTTAATTTAAAGAGGATTTTGAAGGAGATTATGAGATATTTGGCTGTCAACAACCTTTACTTTTTAAGTAGCTATGTTATCTCTTACAAATAGTGATATTACCTTTTAGACTCCTCTAATGTTATTTATAATGGTAGTGTAATTGTCAAACGCGGTCTCAATGTCTGAAAAAAAACGTGACTAAATATAGATCACAAACTCACCGCAGGGACCGTATGAGAATCTCACTTTAGAGAATTCGCGTCCCTAGACTACATCTTCTTTCGTACTAATTGGACCAAGTTAGAACATTCTGGACAAATCTAAGAACGATTTCCTTATGGGTCAAAATTCACTTTTATGGGGCAAAAATTTTGTTACATCATTTTGCATGTGGGCCGAACGTTGAAAACATTGTTAAAGAAAAGATATAAAGAAAAAATATTGTAACATGTGATTTCACTAATAGTATATTATCAAATAGAGCAAAATGATTTATATTTTATTCATGTAATTGTTTCAAATAATTGCAAAATGGTTGAGTTGAGTGGAATTTGAGCTAAACAGGCACTTGTGGGACACATAAAATTACATAATGTTGTTTGAATGGGGCGCATCTATTCAACATGAGTATGCTCTCAAGAAATTTAAAGGGTGGTCTAATTTTGAAATTTTTTTATGCTTAAAATAATTAAACAATGTTGTTTCAACTTTTCAGATGTCAATTACATTATTGACTTCTGTTTTGGTACTTACTATAAAGAATGGTTTTACGATACCTTCAAAATTTACGTTTCACCCCCTCTTCTAATGACTTTTTACCTAAGGTAACTTTTGAGGTTAACACCATCTTACTATTGTGATGTTTAGACTGGGAAGGTTAAATTCCTTAAAAATGTTATGTTCATACTTGGTTGACAGTTGACACTTATTACTATTCACTACTAGTTGTGATTAATGAAAAGAAAAATGATACTTAGACACAAGGGCGAATCTAGGAATTGTCAATGGGAGCCTAATATTAAATAAGGGGAATTGGGAATCGAAAGATTAAAGAATTGAAAAATTTTAAAGGAAATAGGGTTAAACGTTAGAGGAAGAGAAGAAGTGAGTTATCTGATTTGTGAAAGATTAGGAATTTAGGAATTCTCTGCGCTTTGGCTTAGTGATTCTTTAGGGCTTGCTTGGACCTATTTGGCTGGGCCTTTGTTTTAAAATTGTGACTTAGGGTGTGTTTGGTAGGGTTGATTTGGAGGGATAGGGAGAGAAAAGAAAAGAGATGATAGTGTAAGAGCGTATTTGGGTAACTTAATTGGAGAGAAAAGAAAGGATTGGGAGAGAAAGGGAGGGATAGCTATCCCTCCTTATTCTTTATAAGCTTTCTTTCATAATTTGAGAAGATAGGGAGAGATAGGGAGTTGTAAAATCTTAATACCAAAAATACCCTCTACAAATTATTATAAAGAAAAGTTATTCCATTTATATCCTAATTTTGTTTTCATCCATTATTTTTATTTTTTTCTTTTTTCTTTTTTACTTTTGTTTTTACCCATTGCATTGAACTGTTACAAAGAAATATTCCAAATATCCTATGTGAGATTTTGGAAATGGATAATATGTGAAGTGGTTATGAAAGAGTAAGAAAGTAATTTGGTCACTATTCTTTATTTTCTTTTCTCTCCTTTGTCTTATTCAAACAAGAATAATTATTCTTTTTTTTCTTTTCTCCCCTATCTATCGAAACACGAATTAAAATTATTACTATCCTTTCTTTTCTTTCCTAACTAATACTATTTTTTCTTTTCTTTTCTTTTCTCCCCTGTCTATCGAGGGGGCTAATACTATTACTAATTTTTTTTTTTTTAAATATTGGGCTAAATATACCTATACTTAAAAAAAAAAAAGAAGAAAAAAAATTTTGGGGAGAGGGGGGCTCAAGCCCACCCAAGCCTCCCTTGGATCCGCCACTGCTTAGACAGAAGACTTTAATCGTTTACCGAAACGTTTATATCTCATAGATGATGCAAAATCATTAGCAACCGATTTCGTTGTAATAAGGATGGAGCTGAATATCCACATTCCGCACTCATGGTTCTTCAACCTTTGTTTTAATTGTTATTATTATATTTATTTTTATTTATTTTTTCTCCTATCAGAGATAAACCAGGACACTCTTTGGGGGGACCAGAAGTGGAATATAAGAAATTTTGAGGGGTCAAATATCTAACTCTCGTTCAGTGGGCGTTAGTTCAGGTAATCTTGGTCGCATGTTCAGAATCGAGAACGCTGCTGATTTTGCCAACTCATACACAATAATATATATATATATATATATAGAAATATCTGTGTGTTCCCACGTGGTATTACGAGTCAATCACACTCCAAAACACATATGAGGTAATATCATCGTCTCTAGAAAGGTGTACTTGACCCTAACCATATATCTATTGTTTATGCTCATTTCTTGACATATAACTGTATTTCACGACTATTTTGTTTGGATTTGTGTTTTGAACATTCAGTTGAAACTTATGATTGTCTGGTCTTATTTTGAACACTTCTTTTTGTTGAAAATTTTGTATAATATTGAAATTTCTGGGTTTTAGGGGATAGAGTCTGACTTGTGAAAGTTAGGTTTTGAGGGTCATTGAATATTTGCAAATTTCAAGGTTGAGCAAAGACTAAGGTAGTTAAAATGTTGGTTGGATTTTCGGTTTCTGTTCACGAGAAAATATAGGTGTTTTTTTCACAAGAAAGGTGACAAAAAAGTGTAGGAAGAAGTTCAGATTCTCAACTGCTTCATTGATTGATGAGCTTTTAATACAGCTCAATAATAGTTGTTCCTCTCAGTTTTTGGGTAGTAAGTAGAAAGTTCTGTTTGGGGTTATGAGAGACACAGAGTTTTGTCTTCTTGTTTCTTCCAATTTGTGTTCCCTTTCGTGTGTTTGAAATGAATCCTTCTGCAGCAGCCGGGGATCCGAGAGCAATTGTCGAGATTACCAAGGACAAGAATGGAATTGATCAGGTTGTGCTTCGAAATCCACGGGGTGCTTCGGTGCAGGTTATAACCTTCAATCTCCCTTCTGCACTGTTTCTTTGCTGCAGTTGAATTTCGTCTGTTTTTAAAGTTATATAGCAGAATTAAGCTCACAATATATTGATGATTTGTGTGTGTGTGTGTGTGTGTGTGTGTGTGTGTGTGTGTGTGAGATTCAACCAGGTTAGCTTGCATGGAGGGCAAGTTCTTTCATGGAAGACTGACCGGGGAGAAGAGTTATTATTCACAAGTAGTAAGGTGAACTTTTCAATTAGATTCTGATTGTCCTGCACTTTTTTTTTTTATGTTATCTTTTGCAATAAAATTCTTCAGTGTGTGAGATATTCTTGAATTTTTTATACTCAATAAATTTAAATGAATTCCCATATTTAGTAAGTGCTATTTGGCAATAATTAAAATTTCATGAAGTTCTCATGTGTCATGAATGATCCCCAAATAAATCTTTTTGGAGAATTTCAGTACAAGACCATCATAAACTTTTTATTTTTATTTTAAGATGCAATAATATTCTCTCCGAGTCATTTTTTTCAAGAATTGAATTATGAAACCATCTATATGTTGTTCCAGTATGCCAAAGTGTCACTATGATATTAATCAATTCATCATCATCATCATCCTTGCCTTTATCCCATACAGATGGGGTCGGCCACTTGAATTGTCTTTTTCCATTCTTTCCCATTATACACAATGTCCTCTCTTATATTTAGATTTTTCAAGCCGTTTTTAATTACTTCATTCCACGTGAATTTTGGTCAGCCTCTTTGTACCTTCTACACAAACAACTCTTCCTTTTTTATAGGTGCATCATATGATATTAATCAATTGTTTGGATCAATGTGGCATTTCTTTGATTATTGTAGAATAACCAATTTCATTTTTTCTCTCTTTGGGTTCATCGACTGTCAGGCAATCTTCAAGCCACCAGCAGCTGTGAGAGGAGGAATTCCTATTTGTTTTCCTCAGGTATTATTTTACTTGTTGAGATTAGGATAAGTAACGATTTTACAAACGACTAATTTGTTTGCTCCAATATATGTGTAAAGTTCGGAAACCGTGGGTCACTAGAGCAACATGGGTTCGCCAGGAACAAGATCTGGGTCATTGATGATAATCCTCCTCCTCTGCACCCAAATGATTCCGGTGGCAAAGCTTATACTGACTTGCTACTAAAATCATCTGAAGAAGACCTGAAGGCCTGGCCTCATAGGTATGAGCTTCAATGTTTTAATACCTTCTTGATGTTTTCACTTAAAGTTTTATATAGAGGCATTGATGTATGACACCGAAACTTTTGCCCATGTGAATCAAATTAGAATATATTAGGAAAGACTAGTTAATCCTATTAGGACCATCATAGGAACATATTATAGGCATGTTTCACATATCAATATCTTTGCATATTTTGGCCGCCGAGACAGGATGCAATTCATATTTAGTAAAGATCAATCAACGACTTCCCTTTGGATGCTGAATTAATAACATGGACAGTCTTTTTCAGGTTTGAATTTCGTCTCAGGGTGTCTCTGTCAGCCGATGGTTATCTCACCATGATATCTCGCATTAGGAATATCAACTGCAAGCCATTTAGTTTCTCAATTGCATATCATACCTACTTCGCTGTTTCTGATATCAGGTAAAGTTCAGAAGATCCTTGTTGAGATGAGACTCAATTATTATTTACCATCTCTGATGGATGCTTTCTATGTACTATGAAGCTGGTTATTATTTCTCACTTTTTCCTGCTGTTTAAAGAAACAAATTAATCTAATGTCCAATATAATAGCAATAGTACCTACTAGATTGGCCATCTTACAACATTTAGTAGTTGAATATATTTTCTTTTGCTTAATAGGGGGAACGTAACCTTCCCACTCTCTGAGGAATGATAAGAATATCCCCATCGTAGGAAGACATACAAACGTGAAGCATCCTTACCTTAATCAATCAAAGGCAGCAAAGTGAGGAATGTAGTGATTTGGCGGTGGCGCCACATCACCAATGTCTTTAACACTGACAAACAAGAGCGATTGATCTATATTCTTATACCTTTTTACCTAATCTGATACAGTATTCTGTATTCAACCAACAGTTAAAAGAGGCAAGTTGAATGTTACCGGTATTGGCCTTCGGCCTTTCTTGCGTAGCTTAGGTGGAGCGAAAAGAAGGCCTCCTTTTGGGAGTCCGAGCTATCCATTCATGAGGTGAAGGGGAGAATCCCCCTGACCATTTTCTGGTGTATAGGGTAAAACAAGAGGCAGATGGTCTGCCACAGGCCCACAAGGAATGAGGACGAAAAGAAAGTGAAAAATTTTAGGACAAAATGACGATAATGTTTTTCTTGTCTTACCACAAACCTTATTTTGTGGGGGCATTTTAATGGAAGACTGTATGACATCCTAATCCTTCCCCTTGGTTGGCAGCAAGGTTACTTCTTGTCATTTACTTATGAATTAAAAATTATAGTATGTAAATTGCTCAATTTGTATCTAAAATGTCTGCTTTTGCAGTTTGCACTTGCATGAATCAGACCCACCCACGTGAGAGGGGCTGTGGCAATACCATTTTGACTGTGAACCTAGAAGCCCCTTATATATATATCTTCCCCTTGTCCATTTGGGAGTTTTCTAACTTATCTGCCAAGAACAAACAGCCTTGTTAACTCTGGAAACTCTAAGAAAATGCTATGAGACTTCATGACATTATATAAAGTATTTTAGAAAGCAACAGGTTGTAGGTATGATTATGATCAACAATCAGTTCAAAACAGGGAAGAAAAACATGTTGTACTATAGTTTCTGTTATATCTGGGGTAGAAATGATGAACTTTTCTTTGTCTACCATACATTCTATTAGTCCTGCTTTTAGTAAAGTTATATATAGCTTCACCATGGCCTGAACTTTAGATCATAAACTTGTATTGACAGTGAGGTCAGAGTAGAGGGGCTGGAGACTCTTGACTACCTTGACAACCTATGCCAGAAAGAGCGCTTTACAGAACAAGGAGATGCCTTAACATTTGAATCTGAGGTAAATTAACTCCCTACCGTTACAAGCTGCGTAGTCTTTAGATGACATTGGGAAGTTTTTCACGTACCTGTCTTAAAACACTAAGGTTGTAGCTATTCTGAATCTAAATTACTGGTTTAGAGATGCTTGATGGGTGTGTTATGTAGCGCAGAGGCATGTTTTCTTGTATGCGTTTTCAAAGAAAAATAGAACTTGTTTACTTGTGGGAAAATTTAATTTTCTGAAATTCGAGTTTCCTTCTTTGTATTTTATTTATTTATTCTCTTTTTCCCTTTCCTTTCTGCTAGATTTTGTTGGTATTGTGATATTTTCTTTTACATAATGTGGAAATAACAAGGTGAAAGAAAATCTAAAATTTACATTTATGCTCCTCCCTTTTATCCTTATAGATCAGGAAGAGATGCAATTATGCTGCTGTTTCCATATGGTTATCTTCGATTGTCCTTAAAATTGTGGCTTGAGTTGAGGCACTTTCTTATGACGGGTTGTCTTAATTTTAGGTGGATCGCATTTATCTTAGTTCTTCAGATGTAATTGGAGTTTTTGACCACGAGAAAAAGCGGACCTTTGTGATACGGAAGGAAGGACTACCAGACGTAGGTAAGCTTTCATTTTCTCAATTCTGGTAAACTCAGGACTTCCATAATTCCTTATACTTGACAAACCTGAGTTATCCAAAAGTCTCTTTTTTTTGTTGTTGGGGGGGGGGGGGGGGGGGGGGGGTGGGGATGGGGGTGGAGATTAACATATAAGTAACTATATGATCGTATAACATCAGCTGCTTTGAGGACATGAAGACCTCCATAACTCATTAAGTAAATGTCTCAATTGATAGAACTTGAATCTAGTTGAATTTGGAGTGATATGGTTATGCTCTTTGAGAAAAGATTATGAGCTGGGAAAATTGACCCTAATAGAGAAACTGAGAAGCTTAGATGTCCATGTGTTCAGCTAATAGAGAATTTGTAAGTTTCTGTTCAAGAATGATTATCTTGTAAATTCTTAGCTATCAGCATAAACAAAGTACCTTGTGAGTTTCTGTTGAGGATTCTTCCTCTCCACGCAGTAAGAAACATATTCACTCTATCCTGGAAACCTTCATCCTGTCGGTTATTCCCCTCGGTGCAGCAAATGACTCCAACTTGTAACACATCGTTCACTCGTATTTTGTTTAAATGTCTCTCTCAGCATAATATTGTGAATTTGTAATATGTCTGGAAGATGCCAAGATACTTGAGCGAAGTGATAACAAATATCTCTGCTACATTTTACAAACACTTCGTTGGATCATAAGCCAACTTACCTTTGTGACCAGAGCATAGCATTTAACATAGTCCACAATAACTCGTTTGCATTTTTGCAGTGGTCTGGAATCCGTGGGAGAGGAAATCCAAATCCCTGATAGATTTCGGGGATGAAGAGTACAAGCAGATGCTTTGCGTTGATGGGGCAGCAATTGAGAAGCCGATCACCTTGAAGCCAGGCGAGGAATGGACAGGTAGGCTGGAGCTGTCTGTCGTGCCTACACTTTAGTGAAGCAATCATCTTTATCCCCTTCAAGTGAGAGGGATATGAGGATTGAAGTGCCTACCAATACTAATAAACCACTGGATATTGCAATATACTAGCGGCAATATCAATATCATTATGTCGAACCATATTCGAAGTGCAGAAATGAATAAAAATATGGTCACTTTGTAGTTTACTTGACCCCGATGATTGAAATATATTCAGTGGAAGTGGAGATCTATGTAATTTTTTATTTATTTTATTTCTACTGTTGAATTTGGGAAAAGCGTTCCAATGTATTTTAAGCACTGTAATCTAAAGTGTACAAAGATGATATTAACTCCCAAAATTGTACATGGTTTATTTGATACATCAAAATATAAATGTAAGGATTTCTGGTGTATTTCTCTGAGATGCTTCCTATTTTCTACAGATTGTTCTTTTCACAAGATGAAAATTGGATATGATCATTTAACATGGTAGGTGTCTTCATGCACAAATGTGTGACTGCAAATCATAAGAAAATGAACTTATTGATAAATAAAACACACAAAATAAAGTCAATAATGGTCAATTAATTTTAAACACAGAACAAAAGAGTGTATTGAAATGTAAGGATGTATTTTTCTTGGATTAGGAGACACATAAGGATGAGGTCTTTGCATTATGCTATTGAGTCAAAGAGTAGGTTTTGTCAATAATGTGGATGAGCTTCACATGGAAACATGTTCATGGTACAACTGGATATGTTTAAAAAGAGTCTCAGTAAGCTTATGGATGCTCATGCTGGACATCAGCTGGAAAACCATTAGCATCAGAACATGGCTTTCTATGATGAATGAAAAGTTGCAAACTGTTTTTGCAAACATTTAATAATAAAATTTCCTCACAGTTTTTTTTGGGGGCACAAAGGTAAAATTGTGTAAATAACGGAGTGCAACCTAAGTGAGGTTTTGATCTAAAAACTTAGGTTGTTAGATAGTATTGCTCCATATAAGTCTATATAAGTTTGTAACTTTTTTATCAGAATATTATACTGGGATAAAAATTTCTATTTTTATTTTTTTCTCCCTAAACTTGAAATGTTACACTGTAATGCCGATATTTAATTTGATATGGATTAAGAACTTAGTCTGAATTTGATACGACCACTTTCTGACTCTAAATTTAAGTTAGTGGACAATGATTCATATTACTCATGCAAGCCCTTGACCTTACCCTATTCCGATGAGATACGGGACAAGAACGTACAACACTCCGGCATTCTTGATATTTCACATTTCGTGACCGGATGACCGGTTGACCAGGTTTGACAATAAAGGAAGTGACGACGAGTCACAGGTAAACAAAATTTTAAATTTATTTCTATACCGTGGGACCAACAGGTAATGGAACGGCTGAGCACTACCAAGTCATGAGTGATCTATCTGATCCTATATATATGTATACACACCCACATTCATTTCCAAAAAGACGCTAATTTCTCCCATCTCAGGCACCAATAATCGGAGGAGGATCTGGGGCTCAAGGGGTACGTTTCTCTCTCCTATATCATCAATCATTTCGTCTCTCTTATTCTCTATCTATATGTCCACTTGTATATAGATGTAGGTGTGTATATAACTATATATATATATATATATATATATATATATAGCTGATTTTTCTTATATCTCGAAAGCTAGGGTTTCGTCATGGCTTCCAAGCGGATCTTGAAGGAACTCAAGGATCTCCAGAAAGATCCTCCTACCTCTTGCAGCGCAGGTACGATCTGTTCTTATTCTACATAGCATAAACTCGATCCTATTCGTCCTGGATTGTTTTCCTCTCGACTAATGCGGCCTTGTGTAGTTTTGTTGAAATTTGTGAATTTCGTCTGATGTTGTGATGATTTTTTCGGAAATGAGTTGTTCTTTGTGGCACTTTGGGGGTTGATTGAGTGGTAATTTGGGCGTCTCTGAACCGATTTGGATTTTGAAATTTGTTTGGAACACACGAATTATTTGGCAAAATGGATTCTTTTTGGGCCATGGGAGCTCAGAATTTGTGTCATATATGCATGTAGATGCATATGCAATTGAATTACATATCCCTATACTGGTGCACGTTCTTGAGTAACTAATGTTCAATTTTGATCTGAAATTTGAGGTCCAGCTTGATTGAATTATGTGTTTCTGTTAATGAGCTAATGACGTACTATTTACTTGTGACTTTGTGTGCCATCCTTCTGAGCCACACCTATCCTAGTTGGAACAAAATTGTAAGTTCTATTGTATTTTTATTTTTTGCTTTAATATTGTCTTGATGATTTGTTATGCTGGCAGAGAATTGTTCTATCTGGAGGAAAAATTTCTTAAGTTGATCAATTTCTGAATTGTATTTGGTTTTACCATGGAAATTAAATTGTCTCATTATTGCTTAGTACTGTAGCAAATTCTACTCGACTAAACAGAGACTTAATTGGGCTAAAATCAGCTCCAAATAATACCATATTTCTGGTTAAATCTTAGGCTTTCATTTATGCCCTCAGTAGCTCATTCGACTTTTTAGTCTTCGTCTTGTCTTCAACTTGACTGTCTAGGATTTTGTACCATATGTTATAAGCAACTAGCTTTATAATTGTCTTGTCCACTAAATTTGTTTATTTAGCTTAATTGGTACTTAATAATCACACAGCACTTAAAAAGTATTTTTTCATATTCTTTTAGGAATTATGGTGTGTTGCTCGGTTACTTGAGATCATACGTAAGTCTTTTGATTTGGTAAATATATTCTTAAGAAAATATATACAATAGGAGAGATGACTTATGATAGAAGAGAATGAAAATAAAGAATTCATGTGGCCAATGCTATTCAAATGGGACTAAGGCAAGGAGGATGATCGTTTGGTAAATATCTAGAAGGGTACCAACATGATATGCTGATCACATTTAGCAACAATAGGTTATGATATGCATTTATGACTCTTTGGAAGTGCAATGGTCACCCTACAAGTTGGTTAAATGAAAAAGACGTCACTCTACAGTTGATGATAAAAGCTCAAGTTAATCTTTTTTGTATACATTTTAACTTTTTGATTGTTTCCTGTTTATGAGAGTTGGATTTCTTGCTTTCCATCACGTTGGTGGTTGTGGAATTTATACCTGCTCGAAATGAGCTGTGTCTGTGCACACAAGTATTCACTATTGATTATAAATGATGAACATTGGTCTTCTCTAATGTTTTGAAATGAGAGGTTTTGACATGGGACACATTTTGGTGATCTTGTACTTGAGTAGAACATATACTTCGCATGCAATTAAATTTGAACTTAGTTTCTTATCTCATTTGATTAGGTCATATGGCGACACAAAATACCTAGGCAAAGTAAAAATGAGAATATATTATTTAGTATGTGGAAAAAAGGTTTGCCGGATCATAGATATAGCAATTTATTCATTTTGATGTCTTGCATTTGAATATATATTATAGGTCCAGTTGCCGAGGACATGTTTCACTGGCAAGCAACAATTATGGGTCCCTCCGACAGTCCTTATGCAGGTGGAGTGTTTCTAGTTACCATACATTTCCCTCCAGATTATCCGTTTAAGCCACCTAAGGTACTGCATTATCTGCTGTTAGTATTATGAAAGATGGGTGTAATGTCTTATGGTGCTTCATTTTAAATAAGAAGAGGCTAAAAGTTTGTATGATGTTAATCATTTTAAAATATGCTATAGCCTTTTGTGGTATAATAATCTATGCATGAAAGAAGATTGGTGAGAATTTGAAGTATAGAAGGTGGACGTATCTAATGGAATATCCTGTAGACTTGGTTTGAGAGAGAGGGGCAGAGTAAGCAGGGATACACATGATTGCATACGAGGTAGACTTTAGGATCATGTTGTATGTAGCATGCTCTTGTTTCTCCTAGTATGGCTCAAAAGAATTTTTATGTTTCCCCTTATTTTCACCTCTTGTACTCACACACTCCTGAGTTGTGGCATATTTGATTCATACCACCTCATAACGCTGAAACCAAGATGCATTGGAGAGCCCCGAAACCATGACCAAAACAGCATTGAAAACCATATTCTTCATAAGAGTACTTAAAAAAAACTATATTCTTCATAAGAAGTGTTCACATTAAAACTAGTGTCTTTCTCCCAGTCTTGGAATCTTGGACACGGGATATATGAAACTATTTTCTACTTAATCATATGGAATTTGGCACTTTGTTGATCTTAACTATACATGCTTAACTAATGGCTAATTTTGCCATGCTTTTTTTATGGATGAAAATTTATTGAAAATGTTTTCAGATAGTTTCCCCTTGTAGTTCTATTTACTTTGGATGGCTTTTGCAGGTTGCATTCAGAACAAAGGTCTTTCACCCTAATATCAACAGTAATGGCAGTATTTGCCTTGATATATTGAAGGAACAGTGGAGCCCTGCCCTTACTATTTCCAAGGTTATTATTCTGTTACTTCAAACCACTTTACGAAGGAAGATTTACATGTTTTAAAATAAAATACAGTGTGGTTGAATAAACTCTCCTACTCATGGCATCTGGTTCTATCGTTTCAGATGCTATGAACCACAAAACTCGACCCAATTGAGCAGTGGCACTTAGTTTTATGATCTGAAAATAATTACAATTGAATATGGGAGGTGATATTTGCACTTTACTTTTTCATAATTGAACTCCATTTTTAAAGTGAAATGACATCATTGTCTCTATTAATGAATAAGACAATAACGTATTAGGGGTGTTATTTGTCATTTAATTTGAGGAAAAACAAAAAAGGAGTGCATTTATAAAAGAGAAGCGTGAACCTCCCTTGAAAATTAGACTTGAAAATTCTTGGAAGTTGGTCATTTGGGTTATCGATCTGCTTTTGTATCCCCAGGTCTTGAGGGTTTGTGTGTGGGTGTTTTGGGAGGCTGTGGACTGTGGGTCAATCATGCATGTCCTCCAAAACTATTAGGAGTGGAAATTCATTTTTGGCGAAGTAAGTGCATGATTTCATATGGATGTTAAAGTGGATTCGTGTTCATCTTCAGGTATTGCTCTCCATCTGTTCTCTATTAACGGACCCGAATCCTGATGACCCTCTGGTGCCCGAGATTGCTCACATGTACAAGACAGACAGGAGCAAGTATGAGACAACTGCCAGGAGCTGGACCCAGAAGTATGCAATGGGTTAGCGGATGTTGCCATTTGTGATAGGAGGGCTCCTTTACCTTGCGCTTTGGTCTTTTATCTGTAATTTATGAATGAAGACGTACGATCTGTCTGCTGTAAGATGGACCGAGAGAGGGAAAGGTTTGAATCCTGCCCTTCTTAAAAAAACACAGGTGCTGCTTTTGAATTGTCTGTATGGTAAATTGTATGTGTAACTAAGAAGTATGCTTCTTAATGTTTGAAGGTCTTCACTCTTCATCACTTTGGTAGTTCTAATTCGAAATTCGAAAGCAAAAGATAAGAAGCGTACTACTGCAACTACATGTTCCTGCTGGTTCTTCACTTAAGCCTCAAGTTCACACTTCATTTTCCTTCCATTTCTAAGTGAAAGCCTATATAGGTGACTTTCAACTACTCATGCAAGCCATAGGAGTTTGTACTGATCAATTCTTGTGACCCCAATTCTCGTGACCACTCTCAATTAACCATAAACGTAATTAACAATGGTTGTAACAGTTATTATGGTTGCAATATCCCATATGGTTATTGTTCCTGCACATTAGGTCAGAAAAACTTGCATGTGAGTGGGAATTTACTTGTCATTAACATTTATGATGTCACGATGATATCAATCTCTATTCACATCAAATTAGTCGGAGAAAGATATTAAATGCAGCCACACTATATTTACCTAGTAGCACTTGTACCCAGGCACGGACCCATTAAGAGCTCAGTGGGGCAGCTACCTCCATTGAAAATTTATTTTATTTGCAAAATTATTTATAAATTTCATAAAAATCTTCAAAATGCCCTCAGTCAATTTCTAATGGTACCTCATTATATAATATTGTTGTTCAAGATCGCCCCCTCTCATACAATTCTCTGAGTCCGTCACTGTCTGTATCAAGTTTACTCAATTTTTTTCTTATTAGAAAAAAAATTGATTTCATAACTAATAGTGAACTTTTCTCCTTCTTCTTCTTCAGAAAAATAGGACCATTTCAAGGATGTAAGAATAAAGCTAAATGGGACAATAAAATTCAACCAGCGTCATGAGGAGGAGTTTCCAAAATTCAAAAGGCCAGCTAAAATAATCCAACCATGTCATGCCTAGACAAGGTTGGTTGATTGGCAAAAGAAGAATAGTGAAGTAAAACATACACCAAACTTTTAAGCAAATCAGGATAAATAACAGAATGCTCCAAACCAAACATACAGCTAAAGCTATAAAGAGATTCACAGTGAGATTTTCATATGTACAATTATATCAATAGTTTCAACTATCAACTATTTGCAACAATCTTTAAATATTTCTAAAAATAAAATAATTTTGAGGAGAATGGGAGGAACAAAAATGTATGAGGCTGTCCACTTGTCGACACAAAGTTTTTGGAAGGACATTCCTGAATGACCCAAATGAATTGAATGCTTCATTTCTATTTTCAAAGTAGCTTTTCATTTTATACCTTGAGCCTTTGTTGTTTTTTTCCTCCAAAAGTTCAAGCAAATATATACATGTCCAAATGCAAAATACTGCAATTTCTAAAATGCATAAAGACTATGCTTTGAATTACATAAAGTGTAGTGATAGGAAGTTAATAGTCGGACAAATCCGACTAATTTATATGAATAGTAGGAGTTGATGTCATTATAACATCAGAGATATTAATAACTTCGACCGCCGTACATATAAACCAATTAGAATTGTTTGACTTTTGTACTTCAAATCATTATCTTTATATAAAACATGCAAAACACACCCTTCAAGCAAAATTTATATTTATCTAAAATGCAAGTACTTTTGGGTATAAAATTTTCAAAATTGAAAAGTAAATTTTCTGCGACTCCAATTCTAAGACGTCCATGGATAGAGTATAACATGCTAATTAAATACGGATACATAAGTAAGAATACATCTATTTTAATTTGTCCTATTAATATGTGTCGGTGTTTAATTAAAGCATTATTCCATATCTTCAATACCATTAGCATTTAAGTTTTTCTCTTCCATTTGGTTCTCTTTTTAAAAAACAAAACAAACAAATACATATCGTGCACTTCATACCTCTTGCATTTGTATGAAACCTAAAAGCCACTGCTAGTTTTGGGAAACCAAAACCAGGGGAAAAAAAAAAAAAAAAAAAAAGAGAAGAAGAAAGAAAATGAAATGCTCAGAACTGTTTTTTTTTCATACATTTTCTGGGAAACAAAATAGAGCATAGAATGGAGAATAAAGTTTACCATTGCTGGTTGGAGTTGGAGTTGGAGTTGGAGTTAGAGCTGGAGAAGGAACCAAAGATTTAGCTTCAATTGCGTGCAAAATGATAGCAACAATTAGTGATAAAGCTGCATTGATACCAAAAGAAACCCTAGAAATCGCCATTTTTGCTTGTTCTGCTTTCTCTTGTTAATTGATCTTTAGTGTTTTTTTTTTTTTTTTTTTTGTACTCTCTCTATATGCGCGAGAGGCGCCTAGAGAGAGAGGGGCGAAGAACGATTCGTTTGAGAACAGGAAGCGGCCCAGAGATTCTGATGGATGCTAATGTTGTGGTTTCTTACCAGCAAGAGGAACAAAAACCGGTAGATTTGGTAACCGGTAAAGAGAAACTCAAATAACCAGTCTGTTCCCTTCTTGGCGCCAGAATCTACATTCTTTTTCTATTATTACCATTTTTTTTTTTTTTTTTTTGATATCATGCTTAGTTTTGGTCGTCCCAAAACACTCAAAACTGTTTTTTTTTTTTTTTTTTTTTTTTATTAACAAAAAAAGGTTGGGGCCCATATGGACTTACATTGCTATAAGTCCAATATAAAGCCTTCTGTTGGCCTAAGTCCTTTATAAGACCAACTACACAATTAACTATCTAACGAACCACCATCAAGACACAGGTGGGAAACATCAACAATCCATGGCTTCTAATAAAGCAGAAGAACAAATTGCATCAAAGAATGATCTAGGGAGGTTCCAATCAACTGCAATGGATGGCGCAAGGGGACATTTGCATCGTTTAACGGAGAAGAAAGGAAGCCGAACAGATTCAACAATGAAGTCCGGAGTTCATTCCAACTCTTGGGGTTTGTGTGGAAGCCATATTTAGCTTGCAAATTGTTCTAAATAACAGTAGAATATGAACAATGATGAAAGAGATGGTTGTGATCCTCTGCTACACTAAGCTTAAGGCAGAGAGCATATACATTCTACTGCATTAGATAGCCGAGTGTTGGTTTGTCTTGAGTGGGTAATTTGTCTTGTATGGCTAGTCATCAGCAAAAAGAGTGGTTGGTGAGATGGCCTTAAGGGTATATTTATTTGAGAGAATAGGTTTTGTTTGGGGATGGGAGCCATTAGAGGAGGTCATTTGTTTGTATTAAGGTTAGGTGGAGGAAAAGTGGTTGTGTCACCAACTGGGATTACATTATTTTGAATGAGCTTAGGCCATGCATGCCCATTGCTCCTTAGATATAAATGAATATATACCTTCATGTATTTAGTACCTGGTAGAGAGGTCCACAAGGTAACCAGTTGTCAAGAAACGCTGCGGTAGAAGTTCCACTATTGATTTTGTGTAGTAGCTTCCTCCAAAACCAAGAACAACTGTTTGGAATCTTCAGTTCCCACAGACTTTTGTGCTTGATTAGATGCTTTTGAAGTCCATTTTTTTTTCACATACTGTTAGAGTCAGAACACAATAACCAAATGTTTCTTAAGATAACTGCTTAATTTGTTCCACATTTGGAGATTAGGGATGCTCAGGCATCTGCCTCTTTTGGTCTGCACACAAGTTCCCATGGAACTTTGGCTCCGAGCTTAGACATGACAGGACTTGACCACAAAAACTTTTGAAGAATTTGGTTCATCCAAGTAATCATATTATAGGGTAAGATAAACTTGTTAGTCCAGAAAACGTGTATGCTGTATAAAGTGGCATAACTAGGGGAAAAAAATGTGCCTTGGATAAGATGCACCTGTAAAGGAGAGTGCTCTTGCTATCCAATTAATAATTCTAACAAGTATATAATCTATTAGTGTTTGGTAGTCTTTTGCACTTAATCTTGTAGTTATTAATGGAATAACCAAGTATCTGTCACGCCCCGGATTCCAAAATCCGAATCTTGATTAAAGAAAAAAAAAAATTTAAATATAAAATTAACAAACACATCCTTTAATTAGAACCCACCAATCCTCTTTTTAAATTGAAGTCATTATATTTTATTAACTAGCAGTGTTTCGGTTTTAATCCTATAATAATTCGTGAAGTTAACCCAACTTGAAGATGCATACCACTAAAAACTATCCATTTGAAATTTGAAAAAAAAAATTATTATTTAAAGTTCAACGTGTATGTGTGCGCACAATGTAGCATGTTCCCTAAGCTCAACTGTGCAGCTTGGTTCCACAACTCCTCTAGGCACATTCTGACAACCTGCCACATGGTATCAACCACCCTCCAATCATAGTATATAATTATGTAAATAGTTGTAATTTGTACTGTACAATAAAGGGTGTACAAGATGACAAATAAAGTTTGTTTACATAACCCATGACCTGATTTTACATAAAAAAAAAAAAAAAAAAAAAAAAAAAAAAAAAAAAAACCCTGATACTAAACTGAAGTACTCAATTTAATTTATTAAAATCTCTGTAAATCATAATGTTAGACCCAACAAGTAATAAATAACTAAAAATAACTCAAATAACAAATCCAACCCCACCCTTGAATCATAGGATTAAAATAAACAATTCTGGCACAATTAAAATCTTGGCAGCTATGCTAAATTAGAAGTGACATTATCAATTTGTGTCCAACTAAACAAAATAATCATATAAATATTGTTTCTTCAAAGCAAGTCACGTAGATGTGGTCTTTTCCAAGTCAGTTAATTATTTCCAGTAACATTTCCTTCATTTGCAAAATTGTTGGGGGTGAGCAAAGCCCGCTAAACTAATCAATTATTACCAAAATCAATTAACAAGTAAGCACACAGGAATGAATGATAAATTGAATGAGCATGGCAAAGTGAATCCTGTCATCTATGTTACAATAACAAGTAAATAATTAATTTAACAATTTAACCAAATATCACAACCACCCAACAACACACATCTTAAGTCATTCTGACATTTTACGGGTTACTACCCCGAAGGACGCCAGATCCCTCCAGTTATCCCATGCTTTCTCAGGTCACGACCCCGAAGGACGTGAGAACCCTCCAGTTATTTTTCCTGATCAGGTTTCAGGTTTTTCACCTAAGGGCACCGA